ATTGCGTAACCGACAAATAAGTCAGCATTCTACAATAATTAGCTATCCTGTTACTTCGTATGCACTATTTATATTTTGAGAACAGAAATGTTCTACTAACAAATTACGGAAATAAAAAAGTAGAAATTATCAGTCGAAATTATCAAAATTTCCGTTTAACTTAAGCAGAATTCTGGTCATTTCAATCGGAATTTTTTAATCGTTCATATTTCACCAGAAATCGCTTCTTCCTAACTTCTTTTTCCGTGTATGTTTTGAAGCGAAAACTATATGTTTCTTAGCAACATAGACTTTACTGACAGTGTTTCCTACACTACTAGAAATACAATAAAGTTGGAAAGAATTTATATATGTGAAAAAAGAATTATAATATTCTTTCCATGTGCGTAGTTTTCGCAAGCATTCAGCTTCACTTGAAATAACTATAAGATAATTTATAAACTCCAAAGTTCCTATTTTCTGACCGCGACTAAAGTTCCTGCAGTTGCTGTCCGACGATTATACACGGTGATTAGTGTCGGATCATACGACTTGCGCAAAATTAAAGATTAGTCTCTAAAAATAGATCCGTCGCAGACTATTCGATATCAGGGGCCATCGTCATTGAAGAGAGCGATCGATAAATCGCGAGTTCACAGTTCCCTCCCCTCCTCTCAACCTACGCATCGGGTCTCGAAATTGAGAGAGACTTCGAGGAGGTCTCGAGGAGCCAGGGAAGCGCAAGGTGACTACATTGGACCAAGGAGAGATTTTTTTTCTAATTGAAAGAGAGAGTGGAGAGAAAGAGGCGAAGGCAACGCGGTGAAAAGCGGCTTCGCGAAGAGAGGAGACGTCTCAGGTATTTCTAAAGGTACTCGACAACGTGCTCGATGCAGCCGCGAGCGAGAGAACTGCTTCGCCTGCAAATAAGGCGACGTCTCTCCTCTCCTTTTCCTCTCTTGTTTTTTTTTTCTTTTTTCTTTCTAAGACCTGACAAGGAATGCGAGTGAACGCGTTTGATGGCGGGGTAACCACGCCAATTTCTCGCGGAACGTCACGGCGATCTCGCGGAATATTCCACCCCGAGGATAACGATTTTCGCCTCGTTAATATTTACGCGGATTCCTCAACGCAGGGCGACAGCTGCTCTGCTGCTCAGAGTCTAACGGGAGTCTAACAGCCCGCGGCTGGCGGGAACAAATCACGGGCTCCCTTCCTTTCCAATGCACGGTAAACCAGCGAACATTCCTTACCGTCGGCGGATTGCGTTATTTCTCTTTACCGATCGCGGCTAACACGCTCGAGAGGTAAGTAAATTTGTTGATCACGGGATGGTGACGAGGGAATTGTTATTTAGAGAAACGCGTGTATCGATTACGCACCCACCTGATCGAAGAGCTTCGCAGCTCCTTTCGATTAGATGGCACGTAATGCTAAGCGCACTTTGCATCAAAATATGCAATACTGTACATGCAGAACAATCCGCACTACGTTCAAGTAAATGTTTCAAATATTTCATGAGTTTATACAATGTGTTAAAAGAAAGGATTCTCAAGACTCGTAGGTTAGACTGCTATTAAACTGAATAAAATGCTCAATAACATGAGTCGAAAAATCAATTCTTTTAATGTTAGAAGCGATTAGTGAGTACTATCTATACTATAAGTTCTCAAGCTTTTTTTAAACACCCTCACTGAGAGAAAAAATGGTTAAACTAACTAGTTATTTCTGACTCTAATCATATTTTTTGTATTAAAACGGTTATTATAGTAATATGTATATAAGGTTATCACTAATATTATAGTTACAGTTATAAAATTCAATAAAATTATAGTTATAGAACTCAATAAAAAATAATCCTCTTAAATATAATTTATAGTAATTATTTATCTATATATTTATAATTACCAAACATTTTTTCTCAGTGCTGTATATCACGATGATAAAGAGGTAACTGGAGCAAGAATCTTTATTCAGTAGTTAAATGTCATTATAAATACTTAAAAGTATAGCTATGAAATCGAAATAATAGCAACAGTCACAAAAAGTTTTAACTAAAATAGCGAATTTTTTGCTATTACAGCAACAACTATATCTTCAGCAATAATTAGCATAATATTAAAAGAAAACTAAAAGAAAAATTCGATTTGCTTGCTGCATAGAGTCGAGCCAACTTTTTCTTCGACAAAGTTTTATAATATTCTTATAAAAAGAATAAATTCTTCTTCCAAGCACGTGAAGTACAAATTGAATGTTTATTCAAATTTGTGATGAGTACATTTTAAGCCTCGAATTAAGAAAATAGTTTTTATTGAAAATAACCATTACTTAAAAGAAAGAAAATAAATTAATCGCTTTTCTTAGCGCGCAGAAGAATGAAATTTTTTGCTCGTCAACGTACCACGATGTGATCCCGTTGTTCGATGTTTGTTCACGAAAATAGATACAAGATCAATTTGAAAAGAGGAATAATCGTAATGACGTTAATAATAATTATGAAACTGTGCCATGCTGGAAATAAGATTCAATATTTGCATGTGAATCATCTGCATGCGACATCAGATGTGCAATCGTCAGTACGTTGTAGTAACGTTAAACAGTCTCGGAGAAAAAACGCCCGACGGAATAGAGAAGTATCGCCTTTCGTCGTAGTCGATGCCCTTAATTCGCAGTTACGCAAATACACGATCAGTCACGAGAGAATCCTCGTCGTTCGTATATCGCTTCGTTAGATAGCACGGAGGTATTTCACAAAGTCACGAAATAGCTACCACCAGATCGATCCGGGCTATCGCAAACTGAGCGAGCCGATTGAAGGAAGCGAAGATTCTTTGACCGCTTTGGCTAAATTCAGTTCCAGGTCATATTTATTTTTGGCAGTCACTCGTTTCAAAGCTAAGCATTCACCGCAAAAGGTCTCGGGAACATTTTCGCGAGTCGCAAATTAACCCTCCCGGCATGGCCGATGCATTTTTGCGCAATGAGGTGTATTTTCTCCCGGGCCTCCAAGGCACAGCGCATATTCCAATTTCGAATCAAAGAAAATTAGAATTTCCATTCTAATCGCTTCGCCTCTACTCATCTCGCGTCTCATATTTCTTTTTCCATGTATCGCACGACAAAGCTTGATGGTTCTCATGCATAGTTGTGTTGTATTTCAATTTCTTTAGTCGGCAATGCACACACAGAAAAATATCCTTCTACTGCTAAGAAAAAGCAACTGTTCAATGTACTTTCTTTCTTTTAAGTACTTTACTTCTACAAAAAATACTTTCTCGATAATAGTCTTAAAAAATGTTCATCACAAATTTAAGAAAAGCTTATTATTATGTATTCAAAAAAAGAATCTATTTTCTTTACAAGAATATCATAAAACTTTATCGAGTTCGACTCTACGTAAGTAAGCAAACTGAATTTCAGTGTTAATTTAACATTCTTAATTGAAAAATTTGCTAAAATTCAAAATGTATGTTAACTAAATTCGATAGGCTTATTTGATATGAAAACTGATGATAGATTTGCGGATATATAAACTTATATACGATACTAACTAGAAGAAAGTGGCATCGAAATCAGCAGTTACTCATCGTTTCTAAAAAATCTCCAGTCATTTTTACAGTCATCTTTTATTAAGTATCTCTACAGAATTTGTCCTATCGTTTTGTCCTATCGTGCGCTCATTGGCCAATATATTTTAATTAATTATGAAGTAAATATGGGCGAAATTACAAAACGATACATAACTTTTCTGGTTATTTAATACTATATATATATGTGTATAATATATTTTATATACTATATTTAATATCATATTAACTAATTTTAATATATTATTTAACACTATATATGTTATTTAATATATTATTAGTATGCAATATAATATGTTGTTTTTCTTTTCGCCTTTACTAATACAATAAAGTTATTATTATTATCTCGTTAAACGACTAAAAAATATTCTAATGTTTACTCGTGAAATTTGGATCAACAGGAAAACCCGTTCAAAACCAAACAGTTGCGTATGATGTCACAGCGCAAAAACGTATTTTCAAAAACAGCGCTTTCGTGAACGTCAATAAAATATCTCACTCGACTTTTGCTACGCGCGCGCGAATATTGCGAGACAGTTTGTCGCATTTTTCAACACGACAGCGCGATACACTGAGGAAAAGATACTTGGAAATTCATTTGTGTGATATAAAATTTATTTCCGTGAAATAAAGTATATTTCTGGGAAATAAAATTTATTTCTGTGAAATCAATTTTTGTCCTACAAATAAATTTTCAAGAATTTTTTTCTCAGTGTACAGAACATCGGGACACGAAATAGAAAAGCTCGTCGAATCTTCTGTCCGTCCGGAAAATATCCACAACGCACAGGGGAGAAAAATGGGAGCCGGGGGAGTATCGAGAAAAGTTGAAGGCGCGTATATCGATATCGATCGTGACGGCGCGGCGCGGCGCAGCGATCCGATTCCTGCCGATCCTGTCCGACGCTACAAATGCCGTTGCAACCGGCTCAAAGCAGCAAAACGAGATACACGCCGGGCCGACAAACGCAATAAGTCGCCAGCTACTTTCTAGCCCGCGGCTCGATGCCGCGAAACGCGGCTCGCTCTTCCCGCGCGGCGGTGGTGGTGCGTTTTCGCTCGCGTTCTTGCGGCTCGCCGGAGAGAAAACCTTCGCGAACCTGCGCGTCACTACGCGAACTAGGGATGTGCGATTATGCGATATGTCGCAAGCATTTTCGTTTCTTCAATCGCAACGCGATACGACCTTTATCGCAAAATCGCGCCTGCAATTCAGAATCACTCGTCATTTTAGTTAAGTATCTGTGCACGCGACACGCACACAATCTATGATATTTTACTATCTAATTTAAAATTATATATTTAGAGGCATAATGGGATTATGCCATTGTAACAGCTTTAAAATATTAAATAATTATTGTTAAATATTAAATAATAATTGCATTATTTCTTTTTATATATGATTTTTTATATATTTTTTTATATATGTTTCAGAAAAATATACCGAAGATGGCTTCACATTTAACATGGATTGTCATAAATATTTCAGTAAAAAAAAGGTAATAAAAAGGTATGTCTTACTGTTTATAAAAAAAAATGTGAATAAATAATTATAATTAATTAAACGTGCAATAACACCCTTATATATTGCATGGCTTAATAAGTCACTGTTAAAAACATTCGAAAATCGATAATGATTCAGGAATAAACAAATTTTGTAAAATGTTTCCTATTTTACCTCGCGTAGAAAGCACAATGAGATCGCGATACAAAATTGCGCGCGATTAAAAATCATATTTGTGATACACAATTGTGATGCGATATATCGCATTCTTAAAAAGAATGGTAGATATATTACGATTCTTAAAAAAAAAAACTATCACGACATAATTTCATAAGTCGCACATATCTACGACGACACTGGCGCGCGAGCTACGTGTTTGTCGCGAGGAATTATACGTGAGATGCAAATGAAAGAAGCGACCTCTCGTGCTGTTCGTTGTTCTGTTTCGTGCGCGTGACTAGCGTCGTTCACGTGAATCGATTTTTATTGCGATCCATCGCACACCGCGCGGAATTTCGACGACCGACGACGGATCGCGTACGAGAGCGAGAGAGAAAGAAAGAGAGAGAGAGAGAGAGAGAGAGAGAGAGAAACTTAAAATGGAGTTCAAGGGCTCTCTCGATCCGCGTAGAAGTGGAGCGCGCGCGAGTGTCACTTCCAGTTCTGGAAACTTGACACACATCCTCGACAACAGTCCCGATGGATGAAGTGCGTAGGTCGACAAACGCGATGCGGATGTTTAGCATTCATACAGACTTATGAAGATGACTTATGAAAGATGAATTATGAAATTAGCACGACGTGAGACAATTAATGATGAAAAAAGCATGTTTTTAAGTTACATTCATGAGCTAAATGTATCGCATTGAATGAATCATTAAATATTCACATTATACAATAATATAAATTTATTGTTACATTGATATATGAATTTATTAAAAAGTTACACTTAGATTTTCATGTTAAATTTGGCATGACAAATTGTTTCGGGCAAATTTTTATTACCCTTTTTGTATTTCTATTTTGCCACTTTATGTGATAAATATGAGTGCCATATGAATCACTCATCACGGATGCAATCTTTACAAATGAGAAGTAATAACATCGCTGCCAAATTTACGTACACATACTCTCTCAAAATGAATCACTCAAAATGAATCAGTCAAACATCACTGAAAGCAGTGAATATATACTGATTTGCAGTTATAAGTATAGCACTGAAAGTGCTCAATGCTATACTTATAACTGATATCAGTGACTATTCACTGATTTACTTTAAAAGAGTATCTGGCTAGCTATCCCTCTCTCTCTCTCTCTTTCTCTTTATAAATCAATAATATCCACTAGAAGAAATTCTCTATCCCTGTGCGCCGACAGCGAGCATCGAGAGAGGTGTTCTCGATATCCGCGTATGTGACAGTGTGCATCTACGCGATATAGAAATAGAACAAAAATATGTATATCGTTGCTGCTTCAGCACAAAGAACGCACCGTTGTGTGCGCGCCTCGGGAGCAAAAGGTCGGACGTTCTATATAGCGTGCATAATCCCTATCCTCCACTTTTTATCATGTAATACACAATTGTAGCGTAAAATTAGAAAGTTTCCTGTTATTATCGAGCGATCGTGTGTCCAAGGGGACACGACGAACTACTTCGAGCGAAACGGCCGCCCTGTATTCGCGCGTTCAAGCTGCTCGTCTAAGACATGATTTTTGCACGCTCCGCGACATGCTAGATAAAGAAAGCACATAAATCGTGCCGCTGACTCGATCGCATTGAACGCGGTAATCAACGGCGAGTATGTCGTGTGGAAATACCGTAAATTATCGCGATCCGGGAGATATTTAGAAACTTACTCTCCGATGGATTGCAAACGCGCCCGCGAGTTCTGGACAGAGAGGCGAGTCAGAAGCGTGCAACCACTGTCGCTCGTGCGAGCATGCACGATAGAAAAAGCGAGATTTCACCGTGGCTTTCCTCTCTCTACTTTTTCCGCGACGAGCGGGTAATTCGTAATTCTTCTCCGCGGCGGGAACGCGCGACCATACGGACGAGTGAATTTGACAGCAACCTTATATTAATCGTGAGATTCTATCTCTTATAAAAGATGTTCACACACTGAGAGAAGGAATGTCTAAAAGGATAAAAACTATTCGATGGGTACTGATAAAATATTCACTTATAACAATATACATAATTTACAACTGAGAAAAACTCTTATTTCATATGAGAAAACGTGGACTTTTTAAATCTGCAATTCTTCATCAAAACAGCCATTTTATTTAAATAAAAAAACTTAGATTCAAGTCAACATATGTTATTAGTTATCCACCGAATAGATATGTTTTATTCTCTCATTGATGCAGCGATAGATTTACTAAAAGTTACACCCAGATTTCCATATTATTTTGCATGATACATTGTTTTCAAATTCCGATCATTTTCTCCGCATTTCTTTCATATTTCTTACGTGATAAATATCAGCGCCGTTGTATGAAATATTCATAAGGGACACAACCTTTACAAACTGGTACAAAATTGCTGTCAAATTCACGTAATTCATGTACTGAAAAAAGAATATCTAAAAGAATAAAAAATATCCGGTGGGTACTGATAAAAAATATTCACTCATATAATAGCAATGTACATATTTTTGCACTGAAAAAAATTTTTATTTCAAATAAGAAAATATGGACTTTCTTAAGTCTGCAGCTTTTCATGAAAGTTGTCATTTTATTTAAGTAAAAGAACTTAGATTTTTAAATCAACATGTGTGTTATTAGTATCCACTGAATAGATAGTTTTTATTTCGTAGATACTTTTTCTCTCAGAATATAACACTCATGTTTATCATATAGAATAACGAAACAGAGAAAAGTACGAAAAGAACACAGATAGACAGATGTACGCGAATTTTGTACCGGTAAAGGTTGTCCCTTATGAATATTTCATACAACGACGCTGATATTTATCACGTAGGAAATATAAAAGAAATGCGGAAAGAATGATCGGAATTTGATCAAAACAATATATCATGCAAAACGTAATATGGAAATCTGAGTGTAACTTTTAGTGAATCTATCGCTGCATCAATCAATCAATCAATCAATCAATATAACAAAAAGATCATGCTATTGCATGATGCAAATTTAATAATTAATTGAATACATACAGTATATTTGCTTCATAAATAGTACTGAAAGAATTGTAAAGTTTTCGATTATCTCACGTTGTAATCATGAAAGTCTATCTGAGAGCGACCAAAATTTGCTCAAAACAATATGTTGTTTTAAGTATAACATGACAATCTGTGTGCAACTCTTAGTAAATCAGTGTCTCAATGTAACAAAAAATGTACAGTATATATATATATGTCTCTTATAAATGTGATTGAAAAAATGGTAAACCATTGTCTCGCGATAATCATAAACTCTGATTGTCTTGAGCGCCGCCACGTGATTGTTTTTGCTCTTTCTTTTTTTGGTCACGCACAGAACGGTGAAACGTGCGAGCAGTAACCTCCAAAAAAGGAGATTACACGCGACAGGATGCCAAGATGCACGAAAGTTTCTCGCTGAAGACACGCGGGAAAAAGATGGACAAAAGTGTGCAGGTGCAGTATTGAAGGAGTCCTCGGGAAAATAATCACACGCTAATCGGGATCGAAGAAAAGCCTTTCTTCTGTCGTATCGTTTGAAAGTCAAAGGAGGCGAAACTCTCGGAGTTTTTAAATCGGTTTAAATTTATCCTCTTGCACGAAGATGGAGGCAAAATTTCAACGCAAACGCCAAAGCAAGTAACACGCGAGTATAAACTTGCTCAGTTGTTTTGCGGCACTTAACGTTTAATAATATACGAGTTTTCTGCAACAAACCACCGTGAAACGACAGAGATAAATTCAAAGTACTCAGAACGCGATAGTTTAAACGATAGTCACGGCCGTCTCTTACGACTATCCTTGGAGATAAAAATTGCGTGTTAAACTTTTATGAGATCCAATAAATCCTAATTTCTCTTGCGGATAATTTAGCCCGAGCTAATTGGCGAGACGAGAATAAATAAAGAGGCAGCAGAACGGACTTCGAAAGTACGCGGAATTTGCAGGAGTTGTCAGCGCGATTCGTCACGGCAACGACCGTCCATGGCAAATGTAAGAAAAAAAAAAGAAAAAGTAATGTACAACACGCGATAATAACGAGTTACTCACGTCCGCTGTCGTTTAATGCGACAGGTAGCGCCTGGATCTCAAGGCGATCTCAAGGCGACTACGCGCAGCGAAGTTGTACGAAACGGATGGAGCCGGTGCTCCAGATCAAACCGGCGCATTCCGTCACACAAACTGGTGCAAGAAAACGCGCGAGCGCCATTTCCACGAGTTTAACGGGCACGATATGCACCGTTATTTTTCACAACTATCGGTACCTAGTTTCTGCGACCCGACCTCGTTATCTGTCTAAAATACGAGTTATTCAGAGTATCAAAGAAGAAATAAACACCTGGAGTCGTGATCACGACGCGTAATATAGGGGAGACTGGATCTATTTATATTTTAAAATTTCGAAGTTTTACAACTACTCAGGCAATCAATTGTAGTGACTGACTGTGTAAACATGATAGAGGCAACCTTCTTCTGTGCATTAATACCCGCTACACTGAGAGAAAAATATAGTTGTCTTTGCTATAATAGTTAGAAAAACCATCATTTTAGTAAGTGTTATTAGAAAGATGGTTCTTCTAACTATTTTTCTGGTTAAAATCACAAAAAAGTATAGTTGACGCCGAAAGCAACTATATTTTTCTCTCTCAGTGTACGATCCTGTTAACTGTATATTTTGTTTTGTAATAACCAAAATACGAATATGCAACATAGTCATCTTGCTCTGGTTCAGTTGCCCAATAGCGCAGGGTAAGAAGGCCACGTATAAAATATGTACCCTGATTAGTAGTTCCAAATTTTCCGTGAGAGATCTTTACCGTCAGCCCTTGGCCAACTTTAGCTAGTCCGCCTATATATGCTCTATTTCAATCATTTTATGAATGAAAATTGCATTTATTACTAGAAATGGTATGTCATACACCTGCAAGAATTTTTATTCTAAGTAATAATATATCGTTTATTTTTATTCTGTCACAATAGAGAATATTAATAGAAAATTTCGAAAGGCTCGAAAATTTACTTTACTGTTACCAAATCAGTCTTTTTATATTTAACTGTAATATTATTCCAATTTTAATGAAATGCAGGAAAATGTATTTATGTTCTAAAGGGACCATTTCGCGATTTTGTATCTACTTATTCCTCTCATAATAAATACTAGGAAAATGGTATAAAATGTATATATTAAATGTTATATGCTAAAAAACATGAGTAACATATCATTGGGGCCATATAACCTCAGTCTCCCTTACTCCTGCCTCATCTTGCTTTCTCGCGGAAAACGTGATTTCATTATATGTATATAACAGAGAGAATTTTATAATAAAAATTCTATAGGATATGTATATATCCATATATATATCTCTGTGTATATCTATGAAAATATTGTGTTGAAAATAGCCATTATTTAAAAGAAGAAAAGTAAACAGAGTAATCGCTTTTCTTAGCAAAGTAGCATGATATTTTTCTCTGTGCGTACTGATGATCTATTCCTGTACTAAAAAACACGATAAAATTTAAAAGAATTTATATAAAAAAATTATAGAATATTATATGCGAGTTATATGAGTATAAATGTTATATGAGTATAACAATTTTAGATAAATATATAATAATTTTGGCTACGATCCTGCATGGTCCAAGATTACAAAAATTAATTTTTTTACTACAATATTTTCCGTATAATAAAATGTATATAGGAGAAAATAACACGAGACGAACTAACTAGTAGATACATCGTGAATTGCATTCATTCACTGTATCTCTAGTGATTCAAACTTCAGCTAAGTATCGAAGCCCGTAAAACGGCTTACTCGAAACTTGTCTTACGTGAGATAACTTGATCTGAATTTGGAATTATATTTAAGTTTTTTATTTTACTAGAACAATACATGCGCGCGTCATATAGCTAATAAAAAAACAATAATAAATGTAAAATAATAAAATAAAAATTAAATTAAAATATATTTTAATTAATTAATAATTATAAGGAGAGACAGGAAGATACAGGGAGAGACAGGAAGAGACAGTGAGAGACAGGGAGAGACAGGAGAGGCAGAGAGAGACAGGGAGTGACAAGGAGAGACGGGGAGAGACAGAGAGAGACAAGGAGAGACGGGGAAAGACGGGGAGAGACGGGGAGAGATAGGAAAAGACAAGGAAAGACATATCTCTTCTATATTTTTTTTTCGTGACCTAACTAACGCGATGCCAGCTATTTGCCTGATAATTTTATAGGCACAAACGACACGAAGCAAGCCGCAGCTCACATGAAGTGAGCTAAGCGAGAGAACCAATCAGCATCGCGGAAAAGCGGCAAAAATTAAATCTCTTATATGCCTTTTTTTAGAGAGGAATCGTAGAATATATTGCGACGTTATATTTGTAATCGCGATTCAGCTGAAGATTCGCGTTTATCTCTAAATTCATATCTGAATATTTCATCTGAGGCAAGTTTCAAGTAACATAAGATGACCAGACGTCCCGATTTTTCACCCTTTGTCTCGAATTTTTTCAAGTGCTATTCGAGATACCGATTTGTCATCATTTTCAATGATTGTCAAATAATTTTTTGACCTTTTTATCTCCCTCCCCCCATTTCATATATTTATGAAGCATTTATATGTTCCGAATTCAGGGCTGGAAAATCTGGTCACTTTAAGTAACGACTATTAACAGTCGAGTCTAAAACTTATAGTAAACTTATAGTATTAGAATAATTGTCACTTGAAACTTGTCTCATGTGATATTCTCAAGTTTCTACTTCGAGTTAGATCCAAGTTTTTCAGTTGAATTACGATATATGTGATATTTACATCAATTGTTTAAGTGAAAAAAAATTTCATCTTAGTCTGTGTTGAAATCCGAGTATCTCATTTGAGACGAATTTCAAGTAACAACTATTAATACGGGCCTAAGACGATTCATGGAAATCAACGTGGCGGTCAACGTGTTGACCGTTTATGACCCGAAATAAAGTCGATGTGGATTCCGGCCGATCGCGGAAAGGACGTGCCAGGGAAACCGACGAAAGAAGCGACGCGCGTTCAATATTAATGCTTCCCACGACATCGATAAAACGGTACACAACGCGCCAAACGCACACCCGCGACCAATCAAAGTCCATCCTGCGTCGACGGGTGCGGAGGAGAAGGAGGGTAGGATAATTCGTGCGGACTCTCTCCGTGTCGAGGGAGTAATATTAACGTCATGCGTTTCCATCGCAAAGGGCGACTTCCTAGGGCGCGATTAAAAATACCGCGATTACGTAATCGTCGACCGTCGCACGGTGTCCGGCGAGCCGTGAGAAGCCGCGTGTGAGCTCACCGATATAAAAATACGTAAGTTCTACAGAACCGCAAAGAAATAATAGAGGTCGGAGCGTGGCAGTTCTACGAGGCGCGCGTTTCATGCTAATAATTATGCTCGGGCCCCGCGTTAGTAGGTAAAAGGCTGCCTCTGCACCACTATGCCAACGGAGATTGCACCCGCAGCCGTCGTCTTCGCGCGATACGAGAGCCGCAGCGGCTCTCTTTAAAGCGGGATAGTAACAGCAGCCGTGGAACGGTAGGCGTAGTCGCGAGAAATAGTATGTGCACACACTATAAAACACACCGGCGATGGCTTCGTAGCCAATCGGCCGTTTCGCCGCACCTCGCTGCGCATTTCGCTTTGTACGGCACGCCGATGCACAATGCTCCCGTTGTCGCAGCACAGGAGCAGCGGGCCACGTAGACGGGTTACTGCCGCAGCCGTGATGGGTCTGTCTCACCTCGCCCCGGGGATCTTACCAGCTGTACACCGACTTACGCGGCCACGTGAGCAGAGACCCGAAGGAAGATAAATAAAAAAGAAAGTGTGCTGTTGCACGCGCGACCACTGAGAGGGGAGCGCGATTTCACCGTGATCTAATATGCGCTAACACGTCGCGAGGAAGGGCTTTGTTCGATTTTCTTTCTTTCTTTCATTCAATCAACGTCCACGGGGTCGGATTAAAAATTATTGAAATCGTCGAAATCGTTCTCCTCGCGTTTTTCGACGAATGCTTGGCGAGTCTCCGCTGGCAGCACTGGTCAATGTGAAGTTTTATAATTCCAAGAAATTTCATTTTCTCTATATATACAGACGTGGTTGTCGTAGTTTTTATCGTATCTTGCGCCTGACTGCGGAAAAACCGCTAATTGTAATAAATCTTTGTAGACAATTATATTCTTTAAACGAAGGAAGATCGACAGTATCTCAATATAAAAAATTTTTAATTATTATGAATCAAATTGTGAATAAAGCGGAATGTCCCATATCAATCTATTAAGACGACCGTCGCGAGAAAACCGTGTTGAAGAAATTCTAAATTTATTTTCGGATTCTATATATAAAAATACATGAGAAAGTACACGAAAATTCCATAACAGATCACCTAATATAAAATACTTAATACCTTAAATATAAAATACTAAATATTAAATTTAAATATAAAAATAAAATATGAAATTTAAATACAAAAATTTAAATTTGAATAAACATATTATCACGATACTTACAAAATAAATTTAACAAATTAATTTAAATAATTTACTATTTTAAGTTATTTTTTTCTTTCAGTGTATACATTTCAAATTAGATGAGCCTATATATAGAGAAAATCAAAGTTTTTGAAATTACAAAAATTCACATCACTTGAAAGCCCTGAATGTATGTGTGTGTGATAAGAAAAATTTTTAATTTAGTTTAAAATTTCAGAATAATTCTTTCAAATTGTGTGTATGTGATTTTTTCAAATTCGGCGTAAAAAATACTGTATAGATCATACAATTTAATCTGTGACAAAAAAATTTTTTATGTAACCTGAGAGGAGATACAAAAAAATTAAAACAAAGACGAAGAGGATAATCTTTGAGATTGTTATGAGAGAATTAAAAATCCTGAAGTGGACTGCACGTTTTCCTAATGTTCACGACACAGAGATTTAGATGGGAATATCACGTTTACGACTTATGGAAACGCAGGACGCACGGTCTCTTTTTCACAGTCGATTACGGAGGGGAAGAGGTGGAGAGGAGAAAGAGAGAAAGAGAGAGAGTCACGAACCACGGTAATTTAATTTATACGCGAACTTTCGCTGACTGAAATCACTCGCACTTTCATTGCAACGCATCATAAAGAGAAAAAAGGAAGAAGGACGACACGGTGAATACGCGATTAATTCTAAACTCGAGAAGTTCCTTTCGATTTCCTTATCGCGGGGGACTCGTTTTCGTGCGAGTAAGCTAAGTAGCTGCGAGGAATGGTTCATTACGAGAAGAAACGAGATGGAATTAAAGATTAAGAATTCGAGTTTGCATCAGAATTTACCTTATGCGCAACGCCCCCAGGAGAGGACCCTCATTAAAGAACTATTCAAGTTTCCACGACCGTCTGTAAACACAAACACACGCACGCGTACGTACACGCAAACACGCGCGCACACACACCACCTAATTTCAACCCCTCGTTTCTTTCGGTCCTCGGGCGATCGCCATTCTCTACGTCGGGACGGAAAATGCTCTCGCAAACGAATAAGGATACGCGGCGCAACGGTCTGAGGATACGATGCGACGGGAAGAAAGAAATATCCTCTCCCCCCCCTCTCCCCTCCGACCGTATATTAAGAAACTTTCCGTTTCTACGTCTCGCTGAACTTTGTTCGCGGCTCGTTTTCCACCACGTTCAGCACAAATTGAGAAAAACTTCGGCATGCAATTTTTTTTGCAGCATAGGATGTCTCACAAATACCAGCGGTGAGCAACAGAGATATTTTTTCAAGTATCATTTCGACGCGTAACAAATTATTTCACTCATCATTATGTGCTTATTAAAATATTTCCTAAATTTCTTGTTGAATGGAATCTCTATCGTGAAATCACTATATATTTATTTGAAAATATTGTGCATGCTTTTTGCTACAAAATTATTGTAATTACTTGAGTTACTTTTTATGTCGCCAAATTTATTATTTCTATAGTAATTTATTGTGGAGAGAAGAAGGGCAGAGACTAATGAGAGCCAATACAGGTGTTTTAGTGGAATAAATAAGTTTTCGTTACAGATCAACTCAGAAAGAGAGAGAAGTCGCTATATTTTCACTCGAAGCGATAACAGCAATACTGCATCGAGAAACAAGTACTTGAAAATTTATTTGTAGGATATAAAATTTTGATAAAATTTATTCATGTAAAAACGTTTATTTCTGTAAACTTTTATTCGACAAATTCTCAAATATCTCTTTTCCAGTGTATCACTCGAAATCGCAAGAGCAAATGTTTCATGCAATCAG